CCATCCAGTCCAGTAGTTCATAATATCAGATAAAATTGTCCACAATATGACATCCTTACCATCTCTGAAGCAACCAATGCGATATAATGTTGGCATTTGAATCACAAATGCAAATATGTCATCTATAAAGGTATTCAGTGCTTTATAAGTCATCATCCTCCAAGGTAAATGTGCAACTGATTTCATTTTATAGTTGATAAACAGCTGTGGTGTCATCATAATAAATCCTGCAGAAGACCAGAAAATATAATTATTTGTAATTGTAACATATTCACTTATAATAAATGTGACGGTTGTTCAAATCACAGTAATGATGGACAAAGAATCTTGTTTCCAAACTAAATGGACAGTAAACAAAATTAGTCAAGGCATGAAATGATACATTTTGTAAACATAACGTTGTGGGCATTGCTTACTATAAAACACATTATTATTGCTAAACAAATGTTTACTCTGCCATGCATGTAAATGTTCATATTCAAACAAAATCTGAGAAGATGATCAAAATAGTCTATTAGTTACAATATCATCTAACAGACAAGTGGAATTGTATCAACTATTCATTAAAATACAAACAAATTATATCTTACCAAACATAAGAAGGAATCCATACAGTAAATTAAGAACAAACGAGTACCATCCTTTGTGCTCGTGATATAATACAGAGTATACAGCATATCCAGCAAGTAATGGAAATAGTATCCAAGAAAGATACTTAAATGCAAGCTAGAAATAACAAGTCATTTAAAACAAGTCATTCAAAATGACACAGTACCCATTAAAATTGTGAAAGTTCTCTTTGTGCTCGTCATATTAAAGCGGAGGGGTTGTCGCGAGCGTGTCCTTGAAACTCGAGTCCCAAGTGGCGTATACAACATATTGTTTATTTACATCAAATTCGAACATGTGTTGCATGACGACCCCTCCGGTTTAAGACATAGCAAAGAAAAACATAGATCACAAGTGAAAGCATGTCCAACTTATCACATTTTAAAGACAAGATGGCCGTCAGTCAGCCATATTTGATCAAATTGCAAATTAAATTTACATGTACATGTATCCATTTATGACATGCTAAATATCAATGAAAATGATACATGGGTGACAGAAATATAGTAATATGGCCAAAAATAAAAACAGCCGTTATTCGGCCATCTTTGATCTGATTATGAAACAAAGTGACATATATGATGTATGTGCCAAATACGAATGCAAAATAAATAAATTTTGGAAATATAGTAAAAAGGCCAAAAAGTCAAATGGCTGTCAATCAGCTATCCTTGAACCGATTTTGAAACAAATTGTCATGGACATGTGTCCTAACATGTATAAATTATGTGCAAAATTTGAATGAAAACTGACAAAGCATGTCCAAGATACCACATTTAAAAAAAACAAGATGCCTGTCAGTCAGCCATCTTTGATCCAATTGCAAAAGAAATTGTCGTGGATATGTATCCTAACATGTATAATCTATATACCAAGTTTGAATGAAAATTGACAGCGCATACAACAATACAACATTTTCAAAAAACAAGATGCCAGTTGGCCATTTTGAATCAAATAGCTAAACCACTGCATGTGCACATGTCCCACATAAAGTACTAGGCACATGCAAAGAATGAACAGAATCGACTGAAAGGATTATGACACACGGACGGACGCACGGACAGACGGACAGAGACCGAATTATAAGTCCCCGTTTTCGGACTTCGTCCAAACGGGGATTAATAAGGAATGGAATGTAAGACACAAATTACATCACAAAATATCCCAATTTTATAAGCAAAATAAAGTTCTCATGGTATCTATGTAGCAACTAACATAATGACATGTGCTTAACAACTCACCGTATCATACTGCTTTGTAGAAGATTGTGCATACGTAGCTTTATCAGTGAATGATATACGAGGCAGAACACCAAACCATAGGTTTTCCCGATCAATCTACACACATACATAAATATTTATTCATAAAGCTGCAAAAACATTGATTATAATGGAATTGACAGCAATGTGGATGCAGACAAAATATTTTGCCCCTTTCTATTCATTTTTTGTATCATGCATGAATTACAGATGCATGATCAAAACAAGTCTTATTTTAATGATTCAGTAAGCAAGGAATGCAATTTTGGGTTTATATGTGCTTCTATTGGAGATGCATTTTTAATGTAACTTACCTTAATCGACATAACTTTGGTAATTTTCCACAGATCAATCAGTAAACCAACAAAACAGCTAATTCTGACAACTGTGTTAGTTTCATTATCAAACACATAAAGAACTACAACCAGTGATTGGAATACTCCAAAAAACACTGATTTCACAGATAATCCTACCAGAGACTCACGGTTCTTCCAAAACTGAATGTCTGTAATAAAATGAGAATACTTAATTTTACTGTGAAGAGTATCTGTTTTGATAGTATCACAGTGCACACTTGTATTTTTTAATATTGTGTATTTGCATTTCATGTAATGAACATGGGTTTAAAAGTGTGTTGAGCAGGAGCTTGTTTTGCTGATTACCAAGGTATCTAAAATACACAATACAGAAAAATTGTTTTTATCCAGTTTCATTTCACTTCAATTTTGGGGGGAATAACATTAATGATATGTCCATTTCTGCTGTTTGTACTCGATGACATCAAGATTCAACTTAGGTGCATATTCTGCCCTTGAACTATAGAACAACAAAGAATTACAAAACTATTCAACTCTTGATAATTATCATATGGAATGTGATGAGTGCTGACATGTGTGTAGTATACTTATAACAGAGTACAAGTACACTAACATATCTTATGTTCAGGGTACCAGTAAAATGCGTGTGCATGTAATATAAAGTAATTACCGTTTTTAAATGCCAGGAACTCAAATATACTATGAACGATAGACACAATAATAGTGAGTCCCAACAAATAATGATTTGTTTCCAGAAAGGCTTTCTGTAATAAAAAAAAATAGATAAATGAAATAAATAAAGATTTTTATAAATATGTGTACTTTGAGTGAAAAATATGTTTCATAGTG